CCATTGTCAAAATACTAGTCGCTACAACACAAATTTCTGAAGCGGATGCTTTTTTTCTCTTGTATTTTTGAGTAGGAACAAAAAGATAATTATTCTAAAAAACATTGTCGATTGTACGCCTTCATTCATACTTTCTGAGGAATGTTTAGTTAATGAGGCGAAGGATTTCAGTGCTCAAAATCGAATCGAAGCTGTTTTTATTTTTACTGTACTACACATGCGAAGCATTGAATTTTGTATGATTGATGTTCACAAAGTATACAGTACATTGAATATGAAAAAATAATCTCCTAGTTACAGTCACAGAAACAAAAAATCATACAGGATTCTTTTCCACAGTGAAAACAGTTCTATTGAATGGATGAATAAACACCAATGCACGAACGATTTAATTTATCTCTCATCAGAAGTGTTTCTCATAGATAGACTTTTTGAAAATTGAGAGGATCAGCTTTTAAAGCGGTTTTATATTAGTACTTATACGTAGGAAACTGGCCATTTAGTTCTTTTCTGAGTTTTTGTGAATGTTAATTGACAAAAAAAAGACAAGAAACTTATGTGAGTATGAAATACCTGTCCTTCTTTAAGTCCCCAAGTACCACCCCCTTTGAGTTCGGTCACAGGATATTGAAGAAGGTACTCTCGAGGTCGAAATTCGACATGAGCACCAATAATGTCGCCCAAAGCCATTCCAATCATTGAACCATGTATGTGATTCAGTATATCATTATCAGCTTCATCAAGAGGAGGATCTTTCATTTCATTTTCGAGTTCATCGGGTCTTTTGATTCCATTGTTTCGGTGGGTCTGTGGATCAAGCCATGGTTTATCTAAAGACATATATTTGTCTAAGAGACTCCTTCAAATATTTAAAAAAGTTATTCTTGCATGAACATGAGAAGTTTGTTTTTCTTTCCAGTAAATGGCCTTCGTATTTTACCTGTTTGATATTGGCATGCTGGATGTTTCTTTGATCGTTCAGCCATTCCTAAAAAAACACATGAGCAAAAATCATGTCAAGACAATCGCAGCTACTAAATTAAAGCTTTCCGACAATGCCATAATACCAATTTTCGTACGCACATGATCCTGTCGTCATTAATGTCAAAGATTGCATAGACACCACTGTGAATTTTTTCTGACTATTAGGAGTCTTATTCTGTGCTAGTCAACGTCCAAAAAATCGGTAGGAACTACTGAGAACAGCTGCCAACGAAGTCCTTCATGAACTCTAACGAATGCTTGCTCCATCAAATAGTATCATTTTTTTTTACATTTCAAGCAAAATTAATATGTTAGTGTTCAGTAAGAAATTCTAATTCTAGCTGCTATGCAAGATTGATGAAGAAATACTGTTACCTGTTTATTGTGTAAAACGTGTGTAGACTGTGTTCGGTGAAACAACAATTTTACGTGGTATATTTTTAAGTGGTAGAGAAGGCAAATAAACCATCTTTTCTGTTTCATTTTTTTTTCTTTCTCTTTTTATGCGCGATAATAAAAACAGACAACAGAACAAAAAATAAAGCATAATCGAAGTAGAGAAACAAACGATGTAGAATAGACACACACGCACCATACAGGAATGTTGTTTGACAAAGAACAGTGAAGTCCTTCACTCAATAGCATTGCATAAAAAAGGCTAATCAAATCGTTATCGCAAAGTCATAAAAATCAATATAAAAATAATATCTATTGCCTGCTAACGTCTTCAGATTTTCTATGCCTCGATAGAGAGTTTGGTTGGTGTGAATGTGGTTGTGACTGTGACTTCTTTCTCTCTACTCACATCCACACCCACACCCTCAAAAACGAAAATCAAAATTTCAGCAGAGATTGGCTTGATAGATGATCTGGTAGACCTTCCTTTGCGTTTTTCTCTCTCTCGCCTTTTGCCATCATCATTTTTTTCTTTCACCGTTTTTAATAAGTATCAAAAAGATATAAAAGAACGGTCGAAAGAGAAAAACAAACTACAATAATATACAGATACCATATGATGACTAACGATGGTTTATCTCACACAGTTGCTCGAAGGGGTCTAAATATTGACGCATTAAGTATAACAGATGAATACTGCCTTTTTTTACTATGTATCTATTACAATGATGCTGTGCGCTGACATAATCATTCTTTTATATTAATCCTCTACCTTCTTTCACCTTCTTTGGATTTCTATTGCTATCTTTTTTTCTTTCATTGTTCATATACATAGCACATGTTTTCATTTATTTTGTTTCCTTGCATAATAAAGATCGTGCATATACATCAGCACATATAACATCGAGTATATACATTATGTAAACAATAGGGAAGAAAAGAGACGAAACTCTAAAATCTACACCCACACCCAATTAATCCAGAAATCGATGTCTTCGATATTGTTCTTCATGAAATAGCTATGTCTGATTATGCCAAACGAAAAAATCACTTCCTTGTATTCTATTAAATTTTCACGTCCCGCAGTCTGGTTTATATATATTTGAATATAAAAGAAGAAAAAGAAGATAAAAGAAAACAGACAAAGTATAGAGACGAATATTGTTCAAACATATGATTCAAAATGTTAGCGGTGTTTGATTACCATTTGGATAGGAACTTCAGTTCGGAGGAGACCTTTTATAGTTAGATGTATATCCTCTATGGCTTGAGTAGAACGAAATATAAAACGTCGAAATAGTGTTGACAACACAACTCTTTCTTCAAGTCCAGCAAAACGTTGCCCTAATTTAAGAATTATAATAGCATTTTATGAAAATTTTATTCAAATAATATTCACTTACCAATACAATTTCGAGATCCAGCTGAAAATGGAATAAAAGCAAATGGTGAGCGTTCTTTAGATATTAAAGAGCTTTCAGCAAATCGTTCTGGATCGAATTTATTCGGATTAGGAAAGATGTTTGCATCAAAATGAATGCCATGTATAAATATATTTAAATGCGTACCTTTACGAATAGTCTGACCACCTATTGCAAACAAATTTTAATCAATTAATAGATTATGCAAAAATCTTCTATTTAATTATCTCTGGTTTATCTTTATCAAAATAGCACTTTAACTAAAATAGATGTTGATAATCAAATAGGATTTTAGCAGACTTTACTGTGATTTTTAGTTACAGCAATAAAGATTTCAGTGTTTCAGTTTTCCTAATGCAACGGACATAGTTTTCTATCATATCAATGTTTTATTATAATCTCTTAACTAAATTCTTTAACTTACAATATACAAAATCTTCTTGTGCTTCTCGACCAATAATTGGAACTGGTGGAAGAATTCGCATAGATTCCTATTCCAATAAAAATAGATTTACTCTTCACTTTCACAAAGAATCATGCCTTACTTTTATCACACAATCAAGATAAGTCATTTGTTGAATATCGTCCATTGTACATGGTCTTTCTCGATCATCTAAAAAAGAGCAAAAATAGTGGCATCAAAAGACATGGTGAACGTGTTACCTCCAAAAATAGAATCCATTTCTGCATGTACTTTTGCTTGAACATCTGGATAACATCCCATTAAATAACAAAAGAAATTTAGAGCAGCTGCAGTTGTATCATGACCTTCAAACATAAATGTATCAACTTCTTCTTGAATATCATCTAATGAAAGTTGTTCAGCATGCATTTGAGTAAGAAGACTATCGAGAAATACAAGACGACGTGTACTCTTTTTCTTGTCATCACCATTTTTTACTTGTTCCGCATTGAATGTAGTAAGACGTTCTTCAATAACCTTTTTCAAACACAATAAAGATATAAATAGTAATTCAAAGAAGGCAAATACTTTTCGAGAAAATCCATGAAGAACTTTGAGTACCTTCTTCTGTTCACGTCCAATTACTAATCGATCAAAGATAAATGGAGGCCACATCCATGGAGATCGCGAACGTAGGCTTAATATCTCAGTAATTCTAGAAAAGAAAAAGTTTTATTCTTAAATGTAATCATATTGTTTTACCGAACAGTTGCTTCAACAAATTCATTTTTTTCATCACCTGATTGAGCTTTTGGATTTGTGCCTGTTGCTGCTTCTAGCAAAAAAATGAGTTTATATAAGAGAAAATAACTGAATCTTTGAATGAAGAGCTCAACAAACCAACAATAATGTCAAGTGTACAAGCAGAGATATATGGATAAGGATCATGTGTTTTATTTGGTTGTGTTGCACAGTCATCAAAACGACGAGCAAGAATACATGCTTGTTCATTGAATATGATCATGTAATTATTTAATAATTGAGTATCATGAAATGAAGGAGTAATAATACGACGACGACTACGCCATTTCTCGTTTTTACTATATTATAGAGAAAGCAATTAGTAGGATTTGTTTGATCAAAGTTACCTAGTAAGCAAACCAGTTTTAAGCCAAGGTTCGAGAAGAATATAATCGAATGACTTGACAAGTTGTTTACTATTATTGATAAATGTCTAAGTCAGTTGAAAAGGTGTTACTTTAAGAAAAAGAATAAAATTATCATACTTCAAGTCCTTTAGCTGAACACAAAAAAATTATTGGCCATACTGTATACCAAAGACAGTAGACACCTTTGTCTTGATTTTGGCATTCTGTTGACAATCGACGAAGTAAGTCGTAAAACATATCAGTTCTCTTATCGAGTTGATGTACATTTCCAACAAATGGAATAGATGAAAGTGGAAGAAGTGAAATATTTCGATAATCTTTCTGCAATTGTGAGTACCGTACAAAAAAGGGTCGAACAAATTTCAGAATTATGAGAGATAGGACAATAACAATTATTGGCAGTAACAATATCATATCGATAATTGCCCTAGAACATAAAGGAATATATATCTGTTAGGATAAGTTTATGAGTTTATTTCAAAAAGGATAACAAATAAACAAATACAAAAAAAAACAATTAACAAGCAATAACGAATACCTTGAAAAACAGAAATCGATCTAGTACGTCGATTGAGTAAACCAATGAAAAGATAATATAACAAATATATATATATAAGTAGATAGTATGATGATGATAATTAGAATGATAGATGGTGCATCGTAACAATGTGTTAAAACTAGACGATAACGAACAAAATTTATTTATTTATTTGCGCATTCATGTAAATGCACATATATATGTTCCTTCTGTTTTAGTTCATGGCACGGTACAACTATAGAAGAACGACACCCCCTTTGTGTAACATATACAGAACAGGAAAAAAATTCTATTGGTGTTTACATATCACAACTATCGTAGATATATGAAATGTCAAATATAGATGTCATACAAGCACAACTCATAATCATATTGATACTCATAAGAGCTGGTATACATGAAAGCCGATTGAATCTATTAATTAAGAGAATGTTTGAACTATTTCAGAAAAAAGAAAAAGATCTCTCAATTAAAAGAAAACGGATGAATTTCGTGAGAAGACGTCTAACAATCATAGTCCGCTTGTCGGAATTGGAAAAATGTTGTATTAGATCTTTTTTTGATATTTGAAGCATCGTGAAATTCTTGTTCTTCAAATTCTCTGAAACAATAAATGACATGATTTCCTTTGATAGATATGACCTATCCGAATTGGTATTGTGGCAAACAGTAGAGACATAATGATGTTCTTGGTTTGACACCCTTCTGATCGAGATTCATTAAATAGTTTATATACAAACAACATTTATTCTATGGATCTGCTGACCTTTGCCTGAATCAGATAACGATGCTGCTCCACTCTAACAAAGAAATGTTACTCTAAGTCTCGTGATAGTTATCTAATCGATAATGTTCTTGTTTGCTGCACACAGCAACTTCCATTTTCTTCCCATTTTCATGTAAGATCTTCTTCTGTCTAACGCGAGAGATCCTGCTTGAGGTCAGCTGTCATGGTTATTCTAAATTTGATTCTCTATTTTTGTATCTTTTTTTCGTATAAAAATTTACATTACCATATAACAAAAACTATCTCGTTAAATCCTGACCAAAACATACTCTTCGCTTTGAATACAGCTTTGGGAATCCTTACTAAAATTTCATTCAAGGATGTAATATATTCATTTCCACAAGCACTTT